GTTCTCAAAATTACTATTTAATTTTTAAAAAAGATTCCTCAAGCTTTTAAATTAATTATCGAATCAGTAATTGTGACTCAAACATTAACTCAACAAACCAAATTCATTTGGGTGGTGAAAATTAGATTTTTAACAAGCTTAAATATGTGGGTGTAAATTCCGGATTTGATTTTGTGAGAAATTTTGAGTGGGTATTATTTAGACTTGTTAGAAATAGTATAAGGAGGTTGTATATAAAATTTGAAGTCATTTAATGGAGATTTGGACTGGTTTTGAACAAGAATTGCAACTGAAAATCGTGGAAGAAGTTCGTCTACAGACGCTTGTATAAAGGTGTATAAAAGTGTATAATTGTGTATATGGTGTGTTTCTACACTCATATACACTATTATACAAGATTATATATAATTATACAAAAACTGACTTCGTCTTCTTCCTTGCGTCTTTTCTGAAATTTAACTCAAATCTTGCTCAAATTTACTCCAAATCACTTCAAATTTAAATTTTGAACTCCTTTTGACATTTCAATCAATTGGAACAATACCCAATCCAAACAACTAACAAATTCAAAGAAATCAATTTTCAAAAGCAAAGCTTTGAATGGTCTTCAATGGTGGACTTCTACTCTTCAATTTTCTTAAATTGCAAACAGGTGACACAAGAGGAGAAGCAGAATAGACGGTCCCTTGAAGCATATGTAGAAGACGTGAGAAGAAGAGAGAGAGAAAGCAATGGTTGTGAGAACACATATTTAACTCCATAGCTTTTAGAAGCAATGGTTGTAAGAATACATATTTTAATTTGCTAGTGCTTTCAAAATATGTACAATGTGGGCTAGGTGGGGTAAAACTTAAAAACATGGGCCATTTTTTGTTATGGTGTGAAATCATGTGTATTTTCTTGTAATTCTTTCTTTCATAATTCCAAGGCCCAAAGAAAAATTTAATGTATTCTTATTTTTAAATTTATCAGATAAATATATTTTCCACATGAAATTTATTCGGTACGGTTCGGTATTTTTTCGGTTAATTTTTATAAAATAAAAGACCTACCTTAATTATCGGTGCGGTTATAAAGTTATATAAAAACCTACGGTTTCTTAAAAAGAAACCTAAAAATCGGTTCGGTACGGTACGGTTCGGTCGATTTAGTCGGTTTTCGAATATTCATTGACACCCCTAATTTTAAGCTTAACAAGTGTATTATATGGGGTCCCACATGCCTAGAAATAAAAAGATGCCAAACCTCTCTCTCCTCCATATTTTAAGCTTTTTTTAATTTTACTCTTAATTTATCTCGGCAATACACTTAGAATATTTGGTGTGTGTGATTGGTGCGGATCAAGTACTGCCGTATAGTCCTTTTTAAGAACTGAAAATTATTGACGAAAAGTGGATCTTAATCACATTTAAGAAGAGTTGAATATGTGGAGGTGCACATAGTTTTGATCGGTTCCAAAGAAAACCAAAGTCAAATTAAACTAATTGAAAGTTTATGTGATCACTTTATTGTATAATTTTTGGATTGTTTCCAATGCCAAAGACGAAGATTTTGATTGTTGAACTATCCTCAAAAAACATAATACTAGTAGGGATTGAGAGGAAACTAATAATGAGAAAAGGACTTGAAGAGAAAACTGAACAGGAGAAAGATCAGTTTGAAGTGGTAGAAGTGAAAATAAACTTATTTAAGCTGGTTCAACAATGGTAGACAAGTCTAAATCTTTATTAATGACTTCAAATTTTTTATACAACCTCCTTATATTATTTCTAACAAGTCTAAACAACATCAACTCCAAATTTCTAAGAAAACCATATTCGAAATAGAAACCCACTTATTTAAGCATGTTCAACAATGGTGGCTTATTTAAAAAAAAAAATAGTTTTTCATCACCCAAATTTATTTGATTTGTTGAACTAATATCTGAGTCACAATTACAAATTTAAAAATTAGATTAAAAGCTTGAACATTTAAAATAAAGAATAATAATTTCGAGAACCTATTTGAAGTTGAATATATATTAGAATCTTAGCCTATTATTTTTGGGCTACGGCTTTCAAAGTTAAATAGTAGAAGCATGACAACAACGCTGGAGAGATCACAGAGAGTCATAGTGAGATGAATAATATTCCTTCATTTTTAACCAGAACTTTCTAGTTCGAGCCTTAAAAATAGCAAAACTTCTAGTTAAATTTATGGGACGCAAATCTGAATTAGTGATGGCAGAATTTTTTTGGATATGACATTGTTATAAAAAGAGAGGGGTGGGGTGGGGTGGGGGAATACCTGAATGGTAGAGGGAGGTGGGGGAAGATATGTTGTTTTCTCAAAAAAGGAGGGAGGGTTGTCAAGAAGAAGAGATCAGCCCAATCAAGTTTCTGCTCCTCAGAAACAACAAAAGCTTGTCCAAAACCATCCAAATCTCCATCCACTTGCTTCCACTTTTTCTTTTGGTCCATTGGGAGGTTGAAGAAATCTTGAGTATCCTTCTTCACTTTCTCAACTAATGAACTACTCACTCCGTGATTTATCAGCTGTGTAATCATTGCAAACAACAATAAAAGGAATATGCAAATTTTTGAGAATCTAAAAACCAAAGCCAGCTTAAGTAAATTATATATTCGAAAAAAAGAACCTGGAAAAATCCCCCGTCTTTGCAAGCAGAATCAAGCTTCTTCAATTCGATTTCATCTCCAAGAAGCAAGCTTTCCATGTTGATGATTGGGATATTATCACAGAAACTAATACATGTAGATGATTTGATCGGAGAAAAATCTTGATCATCTCTCACGTAACGCGCCGGGACTTTTTCCGGTGAGTCTTTGGCCAGTTCTTGTACACTTGGCACAGCCAAAGTTCCACCTAGCGTCGCTGCCAAATTTTCCTCCATCATTATGACTTATAGTTTCGCTCTTGTATATTCATACACACAAATGTATATAGTTTCTCCTTATGTGTGTGTATGGCGGGGGCAGAATTAGGTACACCTAACCTCATTTTTATAATATAGAAGAACACGATATGAGTTTAAATTATATAACAACAACAATAACATACTCACTATATTTCCATACTTGGCGGAGAATAGTATGTACGCAGACCTTACCCTATCTAGTGAAGGTAGACATATTTTTTCCAATAGATCCTCGGCTAAGAAAAGTAGGGAGGAGAAGAAGAAATAAATCAAATAATAAAGTTCTTTGTTTCCAAAAAATTGTCTGGATACTGTTGGAAAGAACATTGACGACAAAACAAAAAAAAAGAAAATTTAGTAATGTGCTTATTTGCTTACCTGGCAGTGCAGGGCAAATGATAAAATGTTTTCTAGAAGTGGTATACATAATCAATTTCTTATGAACCACTTATGTAATAGTATAATCTAATAATGTGAACAGGAAAAAGATACATCTCACTACTCAACCAAGAAAAATTAATGTAAGGCTGTGGAGGAGCCACTCTTTGTTAAGGAGAGTCCATTGATATTGTTTCGCTAGAAAATTATACTGTATAAATAGGTTAAATTGTTCCTAAAAATATTAGGTGGAATGTCATACCATAATCAAATTTCTCCGTTAACAGTATTTGCGTGTGTATTCACGGCTCTCCCTCTAAAAAAAATTCAAAGGAAAAACAGGTGAAGTGAGGAATTGAACCCTCATCAACAATGCGAAAATTCATGTAGCCAACTAATTAATTTATAGATATTTTATAATGACAAATAATTTGTAGGTTGGGCAGGAGAAAACGACCTGAATATTATCTTTTTTTCTTATTGTTTGATTGCGTAAATTGAGAAAGCACAAAATCCTCTTACTCGATTCCACTATTTTAATACTCTCTCTTCCAATCTATATGACTTGATTTGATCCGACATAAAGTTCAAAAAAAGTATTTGTGAAATTTATGGTATTAAACATATCATAATATATTTGTGTGGCTAAAATACTTTAAACATGTGATCGTAATAAATATATCATAATATTTGTTTGGCTATAAAATTTCTCGTAACAGAAAAATTAAAAAGTTTAAAATTATATTATTTTAAATACAAAAATATATCATTCTTTATGAAACAAATTTATTAATTAGAGCATAATATCACATAATTTAGAATTTGGAACAAGTCGGCCGGAATAGTACTTTAAAATTAATGGTTGAGAATTGAGATGCAAGAAATATAGAACTAGTTAGTTCTTTAGGTCATTTTCACTGGTGATTCTCATGGTGTCCACATACGATTTCCTGACAACGGGCGAAGTTGTATCAAATTAATTTTATTGTAATTATTGATAAATTTAATATTTATAGCAAAAAAAAAGTATTTTAGTACATTATTGTACGATATGATGCATTCAAAGTAAATAACAAAAATATTATTCTTTAAATAATAGCAAATAATATAATCTATTCAAATATTATGTCCACAAAATACAAACAATTATGAAATGATGGTAGTAACAACCATCCAAACAAGTTGTAACTATATATCAAAGCATATCGTGATTCCAATACATAAGCAGTGATTTATTTTGTTTTATCTTTCATATAAAAGGTTTTACAGGTCATTTTCACTAGTGATTCTCATGGTGCCCACATATGATTTCCCGTCAAGTTTACGGGTGAAGAATCCTCTAAAATATTCATGGACACTTATATTTTTGTTCTTCTATTATGTGATATTAATACTCTTTTCTTTTTAGTCGGTCTAAAAGAAAATGTCATTTTATCCTTAATGATAATGGCATACTCCATCCGTTCCAATTTATGTGAATCTGTTTGACTGTGCACGGAATTTAAGAAAAAACGAAGACTTTTTGAATTTGTGGTCGTAAACAAGTTAAAAAGGGACCAGAGTATTTGTGTGGTTATAAAAGCTTGTCATTAAGGGTAGAATTGTAAGTTTAATCTAAATTGTTACCAAATTTAGAAAGGGGTCATTCTTTTTGGAACGGATCAAAAAAAAAATAGGTTCACATAAACCGGAAGAGAGGGAGTAATAATCACAAAGATGTCCCTAACACCTTCATAAAATAAGACGGAGGAGGGAGTAATAAGTAGTGGAAATTGAATGGAGAAAGTACCTCCAAAGAGTCTCCAACATTGACTATGAAGACATTGGGGAGGGGTAAAATGGGAATCCAAATTCCATCTTTCCTAATTTGAAGACCATCAGTTTCATTGACTTGAAGAAGGATGGCTAAGGCACATGCATCAGAGTGAGGGCAAAGTCCCATCACAAGTTCTGGTTTTGGACATGGTGGATAATAATTCATTCTCATTGATTGCATCCCTTTTTCAAAAAGGTTGTTTACTTCTTCTGCTTCAACCCCCAGAGCTTTACCCAACAGTTTCAAAACTTTCATTGCTAGCTCCTTTACTTCTTCTGAGTAGGATTCAATTGTCTCTCTACATATTCCAAAAAGATGGGATTAATAAAATTAAACTCCGATTTAGGTAATAAAGTTCAGAGGTGATATCAGAAATTCAGAATCTTGAGTCAGTAAGTTCAAAATCAATATGATCTTCTAATATGTATTGTAATACATAATTCAAGCTAAAAACAATGGTTCAGGTGAACCTACAGTAGCCGCCTTAGCTCGGCATCTAATAAATCACTAAAAAATACGACTCTTAACATGGTATAATATTGTTCGACATCTGCTTTGGGCCAAGCCCGCATGATTTTCCTCATAATGTTTCACACTATTAAGAATATTCAAGTCCTTATAAGTACCTTTTTTCCCTACTTTTCATGTGGACTTTATTCTCACACACACCTAACATATTAAATATTTTGATGTAAGATTTGTAACAAGTGTTAAATATTACAACAACAACAACAATATACCCAGTATAATCCTGGGGAGGTAGTGTATTCGCAGACCTTATATCTACCTTGTGAAGATAGAGAGGTTGTTTCCAATAGACCCTCGGCTCAAGATAGGTGTTGAATATTATGGTTGATTAATAGAAAAGTTTTATAAATAGAATTTTATTTATGGTGAATGTCTATATTTAGAAAGATTCTAGGGTTTATTACTTGGTGGCTAAGTCACTCTCTCCCTATAAATAGAGGGTTATATTCCATTGTAATTCATGCCAAATCAATAAGAATTCTCTCTCTTTCTACTTTTCTCTGCAATACTGTTCTTCTTCTTTTATTATTTTATAACACGTTATCAGCACGAGACTCTACCTTCTCAAGAAGATTAAGGTACAACTTTTCTCCTCTTTTAATTATGACTGATATTATGAAAAGAAAGTTCGTTGCCCTTGAAATTTCGGGCAAGAACTATATGACATGGGTGTTGGATGCTAAAATCCATTTAGATGCAATGGGTCTTGGAGACGCCATTAAAGACAAAAATAAAGCATCCACCCAAGACTGTGCTAAGGCCTTGATTTCTTGCGCCATCACCTTGATGAAGGGTTGAAAATAGAATATCTCACAGTCAAAGATCCACTTGTTTTGTGGAATGGCTTAAAGGAAAGATATGACAACTTAAAGTTGGTCACTCTTCCACAAGCACGATATGATTAGGCTCATCTGTGTCACGACCCGGATTTCCCACCCTCGGGAGTCATGATGGCGCCTACTAATAGGAGCTAGGCAAGCTAATTAATTTAACATTTCTCTCAACATCATTAATAGTATAAGGAAGAACGAGGCAGTTAATATAAAAGCGGAAGTCCCGAAAATATAAATAACTGAAACCAAGTGCAAAAATTCAAATACACCTCTACCCAGATCTGGTGTCACTAACTCACGAACTTCTACTGAATGCTAAATACAAAGTCTGAATAAGAATACAGTACTGTCTGATTCGATACAGAGGAAATCAAACGAAAGACAGAGATAAGGGAGACTCCGGGCCATGCGGACGCCAGCAAGGCTACCTCGGAAATCTCCGGACTGAAGTAAGCTCCCAACGCTCCTACTGCTGTCCAAAAGCTCCTGCTCTGGTACTATGATCTGTGCAAAAAGCACAGAAGTGTAGCATCAGCACAACCGACCCCATGTGCTGGTAAGTGCCTGGACTAACCCCGGCAAGGGTACAGCTAACAGCCCAAATATCCCGGCTGAACTGCCACCGCTGGCTGGACCACTGGAACCTGAGCCTGGGGAGCTACCTGCTTCGGAGTACGTGTAGCAGGAGTCTGAACCCCTCCTCCAGCCTGAGAAGTGGCTGGTGCTACTGGAAGCAAACCCGCTCTAGTGACGCTCTCCACAAGGCCTACCAATCTGACCAGAGCGTCCTGAAGAACTGGGTGGCTATGAACCTCTCTAGGACCTGAGCTGGGCCCACCGGAGCTGCTGGGGCTGGAACCTCCTCATCATAATCAACATGAGGCTCCACCTCTGGGACTGCTGCTCGGGGCTGAGCTCTGCCCCGGCCTCGGCCTCTGGCACGGCCTCGGCCTCTGCCCCTCGTAGGAGCTGCTGCTGGGGGCTCGGGCTGCTATGCGGTAGAAGAGGAAGCACGTATTCTCGCCATCTGCGAAAGAACAGAGTAGAACGACAATCGGTATTTGAGAAATAGAATCGCACGAGAAGAAAGAACAAAAGTGAAGTTTTCCCTAACTCTGTAGCCTCTGGGGGATAAATACAGACGTCTCCGTACCGATCCCTCAGACTCTACCAAGTTTGTCCGTGAGTAGCGAGACCTATGTAACCTAGAGCTCTGATACCAACTTGTCAAGACCCGAATTTCCCACCGTCGGGAGTCGTGATGGCGCCTACTATTGGAGCTAGGCAAGCCAAACTTTTAAACATTTTCGGATAACAACATAACAATAATAAAATGACAAGTCTTTAAATAAATGTGGAAGTCTTTTAAAACATAAATAACTGAAAACCCAAAATGCGGAAGTCTAATATTTCACTACCCAAGACTGGAGTCGCTGTCTCACGAACCACTAAAGAGTGCTACAAACAAGTCTGAATAGAAAAGTACATAATGTCTGTCTCGGTACAATGAAAACAAACAGAAAATATGGAAAGGGACTTCGGCCTGCGAACGCCAGCTAGGCTACCTCGTAAGTCCCTAGACTGAAGAGGGCTCCCGATCAACTACTGCTGTGGTCCAAGAGCTGCTCCGGTACCGTGATCTGTGCAAAAAGCACAGAAGTGTAGCATCAGCACAACCGACNGCTTTTGTCATGTTTGTCATTTGAAAATCTGGAAAATCTTGTAATTCATTGCTTTCATCTTCATCATTCAACAAGCCATCATGATGTTCCTTTCCTTTTTTAACATTTTGAATAAACTTTAGAACAATATCAAGCTTCTGATTAATATCCTGCAACAATAAATACAATATATTATTCTACGAACAAAATCAACACTAAAATAAATTACCAAACTAGTTAATTACCTTAACAGAGTTCTTCACATGTTTCTTCATCTTTATTCGATTATCTTTAATATTTTTCTTCATCTTTATTTTAAATTTAACAAAATCTGCATGTACAATGTCTTCAACTTTGGCAGATACCCTCTGAAAAGAAAACAAAAAATGGTAAGAATTTCAGCATCATAACACATAAACATTCTTATCGAGTCCAAGCACAATTCAAGAAAGGTAGCATATAATTTTGGACAATAATAATCTAGATAGAACTACTCCAGTATAACATAATGGATGACAAGCATACACACAGTACACATCGAATAAAATATACTGGAGTCAAACATAACTCAACAATTATCCAGTATAACATACTGGAAAACAAACACTGAGAGAACAGACTTCCAGTATAATATACTGGACAACAATCTTAAACATGGCAGACTTCGATTAAAAGATACTGGAGTCAAACAAAACTCAACTATATATTAATAATCATCCAGTATAACATACTGGAAGACAATTATTAACAGGATATACTCCAGGTATAATATACTTGCTTCAAGTATAGTATTATACTACACAAGTATACTGCTCTAGTAAATTATACTAATTGAGTATATTCCACTTCCATTATACTAAAATGGTAAGAATTTTAGCATCATCATACGTAAACATTCGTATCGATTCTAAGCACAATACAAGAAGGATAGCATATAATTTTGTACAGTAATAGTCTAGATAGAACTAATCCAGTATAACATAATGGATGACTGTCACGACCCGGATTTTCCACCGTCGGGAGTCGTGATGGCGCCTACTGTTGGAGCTAGGCAAGCCAAACTTTTAAAAATTTTCGGAAAACAACATAACAATAATAAAATGACGAGTCTTTAAATAAATGCGGAAGTCTTTTAAAACATAAATTACTGAAAATCCAAAATGCGGAAGTCTAATATTTCACTACCCAAGATTGGAGTCGCTGTCTCACGAACCACTAAAGAGTGCTACAAACAAGTCTGAATAGAAAAGTACATAATGTCTGTCTCGGTATAATGAAAACAAACAGAAAATATGGAAAGGGACTTCGGCCTGCGAACGCCAGCTAGGCTACCTCGTAAGTCCCTGGACTGAAAAGGGCTCCCGATCAACTACTGCTGTGGTCCAAGAGCTGCTCCGGTACCGTGATCTGTGCAAAAAGCACAGAAGTGTAGCATCAGCACAACCGACCCCATGTGCTGGTAATGCCTGGCCTAACCCCGGCGAAGTAGTGACGAGGCTAGACAGGACTACCAAGTCAACCTGTGCAGTTCAATATATATATATATGCAATAAAGGAAAGAATACCGAAATTAAACAGTTAACTAGGGAGGGAAACATGCTATGGGGGAAGTACAATCCGGATATAAAGTCATCAACTTAAGTAAGAAACAGGGCAATAAAAATAATTAATAAAAACAGGAGAATCAACAGTTGCACAGCATCAACCTTCGTGCTTTTACTCTCATTCTCACCAAAAACAATCAAATAGAGTGCACGGAATCACCCTTCGTGCTTTTCCTTGCATAACTCTCATTTCATGGCACGGAATGATCCTTCGTGCATTTATAGTCAAATCAGAGCACGGAAAGTCCCTTCGTGCAAATTTAATCAAAACATGGCACGGAATGACCCTTCGTGCATTAATCACTCTTCCTCACCCAAACAGCAATCACAACCAAACGGGCGAGGGAATAAGCAAATAATAAGAAGTGTCCCGGCAAGGGAAAGCACAATTAAACAGCTAAATCCCGGCAAGGGAGTAACAACAACAACTTTCACATCCCGGCAAGGGAGATAATCAATATACTAAAACCATCCCGGCAAGGGATTTAATCATATCTCTTTCCATTTCTTTCATTTCTTACTCAATAGTATTTTTATTGTTAGAGCCAACGCTCCAAAGAATTTACAATGCATAACCAATCCTCAAACCCTTCACATTAGGTAGAATTCATCAATTAGCATAGAAAAGTCTCAAAATATCAGAAATACGTGCAAACAAGGACCCACGGTCATGCTAGACACCGGTGTATAGATACTCGTCACCATGCCTATACACCATACTCGATCATTTAGCAATTAGCAATTAATAACACTCTAATCATATTCCCTGAAGCCAAAGTTAGATCAAACACTTACCTCGATTCTAAGAATAGCAATCAATCCTCAAATACCGCCTTTCCTCTACAATCCGACTCCGAAACAATGATATCTAGGCATAATTAATTCAATAATATCAATAAAGACCCAATGGCAACATCCCATAGCCTAGATATGAATTTCCTAACATTCCTCCAAAAATACCAAATTTAGACACCGGGCCCACATGGTCCAAACACGAGGCTCGGACCAAAACCTAGTCACCCATAACCCCACGAGTTCAAATATATAATTTGTTTTAAGATTCGACCCCAAATTGAGGTTGAATCACCCAAAATTCCCAAAACCCTAACTCTACCCAAAACCCTTAATTTCTACTTTGATTTCATGATTTAGGCTTAGAAACTTGCTAATTAATGAAGGAAAAGTGAAGGAAATGAGTGGGGAATTACTTACCCAAGTGGTCTTGAAGAGTGGGGGCTTTAACGGCTTCCTAAAGCTTGGGGTAGAAGAGAGATCGTGAGGAAAGTGAAGAAATCCCGTGTGTTCTGATTCTGGAAATTAAAAATATAACTGGGCGTTCTTACCCTACGCGATCGCGACTAAGAGGACGCGTTCGCGGTGAAGAGAAACTGGGGGCATCGCGTTCGCGATGGGTGTGATGCGAACGCGAAGAGGAAGCTGGTGGGGGCCCTGGGATTGCCTTACGTGAACTCGTAAAAAGGGGACGCGAACGCGATTGAGAAAGGGCTGTAAGTACGCGAACTGCCTTTCCGCGAACGCGAAGATGGGAGAGTCCAAAGCTATGCGAACGCGGGGTCGAGTCCGCGATTGCGAAGAAGGCAACAGCTGGGCAAAGATTGCAGAGAAATCTGTTACAATTCCTAAGTGTAAAAACACCCCGAACCACCTCCGATTCACTCCCGAGCCCTCGGGGCTCCCAACCAATCACACACACTAACTCAACAACATCCTACGAACTTACTCGAGCGATCAAATCGCCAAAACAACATCAAAATCAATGAATCAAACTTCAAAATCATCATTTTTTATTCTAACTTCACAAACTTCAAACTTTAGATATTTAGGTCCGAAATACGGCAAATGACGTCCGATTCCGACCAAACTTCACAGAAAGCGCTTAACACATATTTAAGACCTGTACCAGGCGTCGGAACCAAAATACGAGCCCGATACCATAGTCTTTTAATCAATTTTCATTTCCATTTTCCTTAATAATTTCAGAAAAACAATTAAACAGAAAAAATTCTTTTCTCGGGCTCTAGACCTCGGAATTCGATTCCGAGCATATGCCCGAGTCCCATATTTTTCTACGGACCCTCCGGGACCGTCAAATCACGGGTCCGGGTCCGCTTACCAAAAATGTTGACCGAAGTCAACTTTAATCATTTTAAAGCCACATTTTGAAATTTTTCACAGAATTTAACATATAATTTTTCCGGCTACGCGCCCGGACTACGCACGCAAATTGAGGCAACTAAAGGTGAGGTTTTCAAGGCCTCAGAAGCACGGAAAAAGAGAGAAATCCAGTGATGACCCTTTGGGTCGTCACAATGACAAGCGTACACACAGTACACATCGAATAAAATATACTAGAGTCAAACATAACTCAACAATTATCCAGTATAACATACTGGAAAACAAACACTGAGACAACAGACTTCCAGTATAATATACTGGACAACAATCTTAAACATGGCAGACTTCGATTAAAAGATACTGGAGTCAAACAAAACTCAACTATATATTAATAATCATCCATTATAATATACTTGAAGACAATTATTAACAGGATATACTCCAGGTATAATATACTTACTTCAAGTATAGTATTATACTACACAAGTATACAGCTCTAGTAAATTATACTAATTGAGTATATTCCACTTCCATTGGAAAACCTGGAAAATAATACTTCTAAGAAACAACTCCCAGAATAATTTACAGCAAACATAATTTTAAATGCAAGTTATTACAACATAAATCCGGTATACGATAGTAGAGATTAATGAAAAGCAAGACTAAATAAAATAGAAGAAACAACTACTTACATTGACAATGTCGTTAACATTAACTTTGGATGAAGATTGGAGAAGATATGATTGATTCACTTTGAAAACCTTAAATTTCTACAAATTAAACAAAAAGGTCAATAATTAAACTAAAACTGTCACGACCCGAAATTTCCCACCCTCAGGAGTCGTGATGGCGCCTACTCATAGAAGCTAGGCAAGCCAAATTATTAATTACTTTCTGTTTACAATATAATCCCTTTTAACAATTCATGGCAACAATATAAAACAATGAAATTAAATAGTAGCGGAAGTCATAATTATAGAAACTGAATCAACATGCGGAATAGTCAATATAATCCTCTACCCAAGACTGGTGTCACAATACTCACGAACTGCTAAGGATTACTAAACACAAACGTCTGAAAGAAAACATAAGTTGTTTGTCTCGAATACAATGAGGCAACAGGCTAAAAAGAGAGAATAAGGGAAACGCCGGGCTTGCGGACGCATGCAAGGCTACCTCGGGTCTCACCGGACTGAAGGCCTACTCCCGTACTAATGCTGCTGCTGCTGCTCAAAACCTGGACCTGTGCAAATAGCACAGAGTGTAGCATCAGCACAACCGACCCCATGTGCTGGTAAGTGTCTGGCCTAACCCCGGTGAGGTAGTGACGAGGCTAGGACCAGACTCCAGATAAACCTGTGAAGATATATGTATACAAGTACAACGGAAAAGTAGCAAGAAAATAACAATTTAAGCTAGGGAAGGGAGCATGCTTCAGGGTAACAGATAGAGTCAAAATATCAGGAATAATGGTACGTACATCTACAGTTTAACTTCTAACAATAATGGAAAGGTAAAACAACTTTCATATTCAACTCATCTTGTTGCAGGCGTGCAACCCGATCCCATTTCTCAATATCTCGTGGTAGGCGTACCACCTGCTCCCATTTCAATATATCATTTGTGGTAGGCGTACCACTCGTCCATTTCAATATCATTTATGGTAGGCGTACCACTCGCTCCCATTTCAATATATCATTTGTGGTAGGCATACCACTCGCTCCTATTTCAATATATCATTTGTGGTAGGCGTACCACTCGCTCCCATTTCAATATATCATTTGTGGTAGGCGTACCACTCGCTCCCATTTCAATATCATTTGTGGTAGGCGTACCACCCGTTCCTAATTTAATATCACTTGTGGTAGGCGTACCACCCGCTCCCTTTACTTTCCACATAATACACAATACAATCCCGGCAAGGGAACAATCAAATTAATTCTCTTTCCCGGCAAGGGAACTATAACAACAAGTCAAGTAAAGGGTCTACCCAAAACCCCCAATTTCTCCCATGATAATCATTGATTTTAAGTTGAAAACATGTTAAATGATGTTAATGATTGAAAGAGTTAAGTAAAAATCGACTTACAAATGATTTGGGATGATACTTGTTCTTGAAAAATCGCCTAAGGAGTTGTATTTTGGAAGTGGGGTGAAAAATGACTTAAAATTCGACTAAGTATGAAATTGCTGGGTCTCTGATGTCGCATTTGCGAACTGGGGTTCGCAATTGCGAACCCCGACCAAATTATGGGAATTGCGACCTCTGCTTCGCATTTGCGAAGCCATGCCTTACAGGAGACCTTCGCATTTGCGAACTTGGTCTCGCATTTGCGAAACTTGGAACTTCGCATTTGCGAAGAACATACTCGCATTTGCGATTATAGTCAGGCCTGGGCTGGTTTCGCATTTGCGAACCAGCCTTCGCATTTGCGAACCAATGCGAAGCATGCAGGCCTGTTCATACCAGATTTTTCCTAAGTTAAAAATGCACTCCGACGCCTATCAAAAACTCACCCGAGCTCTCGGGGCTCCAAACCAAATATACACACAACCTCAAAAACATCCTACGGACTTATCCGCGCGATCAAATCGCCAAAATAACATCATATACATCGAATTAAACCTCAAAATTCATAATTTCCTCCAAGTTTTCTTATAACATCAAATTTCCATTTTAAGTCCGAAACACGTCATACGATGTCCGATTTCAACCAAACTTTACAGAAAGCGCTTAAACTATATATAAGACTTGTACCGGGCGCCGGAACCAAAATACGGGCCGATACCACAGTCTTTTAATCAAATTTCATTTTCATTTTCATTTTCCTTAATCATTTCCAGAAAACAATTTCACACAAAAATTCATTTCTCGGGCTTGGGACCTCGGAATTCGATTCCGGACATACGCCCAAGTCCCGTATTTTTCTACGGACCCTCCAGGACCGTCAAATCACGGATTCGGGTCCGTTTGCCCAAAATGTTGACTGAAGTCAAATTTAATCAATTTAATATCAAAATTTAGCATTTTTCTCATAGAATTCATATTTAAGCTTTCCGGCTATGCGCCCGAACTGCGCACGCAAATCGAGGCAATCCTAAACGAGGTTTTCAAGGCCTCGGAAGCACAGAATGAACAAAAAAACAAGTGATGACCCTTTGGGTCGTCACATTCTCGACCTCTAAAACAACCGTTCGTCCTCGAACGGACAAAAGAAAGAAGTACCTGAGTCGGGAAAAAGATGAGGATAACGGCTCCGCATATCGGACTCGGACTCCCAGGTCGATGCCTCAGGAGGCTGACCTCTCCACTGAACACGAACAGAAGGAAAACTCTTGGATCTCAATTGTCGAACCTGCCGGTCTAGAATAGCTACCGGCTCCTCCTCATAAGACAAATCCTTGTCCAACTGGACAGTGCTGAAATCTAACACGTGGGCCAGATCGCCGTGATACCTCTGAAGCATGGATACATGAAAAACTGGATGCACGGCTGATAAGCTACGCAGCAAGGCAAGTCTATAAGCCACCGCTCCCACTCGATCCAGAATCTCAAACGGACCAATGAACCTAGGGCTAAGCTTGCCCTTCTTCCCAAACCTCATCACGCCCTTCATAGGCGACACTCAGAGCAATACCCGCTCGCCAACCATGAAAGCTACATCTCAAACCTTGCGATCTACATAGCTCTTTTGCCTAGACTGAGCTGAACGAAGCCTATCCTGAATGATCTTGACCTTGTCCAAGGCCTTCTTAACCAAATCTGTACCCAACAACCGAGCCTCTCCCGGCTCAAACCATCCAACTGGAGACCGACACCGCCTACCATATAAAGCCTCATAAGGAGCCATCTGGATGATCGACTGGTAGCTGTTATTGTAGGCAAATTCCACTAAAGGAAAAAACTGATCCCACGAACCTCCAAAGTCAATAACACAAGCTCGAAGCATATCCTCTAGAACCTGAATAGTCCGCTCGGACTGACCATCCGTCTGGGGATGAAATGCTGTGCTCAAATCTACTCGTGTGCCCAACTCTCGCTGAACTGATCTCCAGAAGCGCGAGGTAAACTGCGTACCCCAGTACGATATGATAGATGCCGGCACACCATGAAGGCAAACAATCTCCCGGATATAAATCTCAGCTAATCTCTCAGAAGAATAGGAGACTACCACAGGAATGAAATATGCTGACTTGGTCAGCCTATCAACAATGACCCAAACTGCGTCGAACTTCTTCCGAGTCAGCGGAAATCCAGTAACAAAATTCATAGTAATCCGCTCTCACTTCCACTCGGGAGGCTCAATCCTCTGAAATAAACCACCAAGCCTCTGATGCTCGTACTGAACCTACTGACAATTCAAACAACGAGCCACATATGCCACGATATCCTTCTTCATTCTACGCCACCAGTAATGCTGCCGCAAATCCTGATACATCTTCGCGGCGCCCGATGAATAGAGTACCGGGAACTATGGGCCCCCTCTAAAATCAACTCTCAAAGCCCACCCACATTAGGCACACATACTCGACCATGCAATCTCAAAACTCCATCATCATCTAAGGTAACATGCCTGGCACCTCCGCGCTGCACCGTGTCTCTAAGGACACACAAATGGGGATCATCAAACTGCCGATCACGGATACGCTCCAATAATGACGAATGAGCGACCGTGCAAGCCAACACACGACTGGGCTCAGAAACATCCAGTCTCACAAACTGATTGGCTAAAGCCTGAACATCCAAAGCAAGCGGCCTCTCACCGACCAGAATATAAACAAGACTACCCATACTGGCTGACTTCCTACTCAAAGCATCGGCCACCATATTGGCCTTTCCCGAATGATATAAAATGGTGGTATCATAATCCTTCAACAACTCCAACCACCTCCTCTGCCTCAAATTCAACTCCTTTTGCTTGAACAAATACTGAAGACTCTTGTGATCAGTGAACACCTCACACGCCACGCCATACAGATAATGCCTCCAAATCTTCAACGCGTGAACTATGGCTGCCAACTCCAAATCATGAACCGGATAGTTCTTCTCATGAATCTTCAACTGCCTCGAAGCATAGGCAATGACCTTGCCATCTTGCATCAACACTGCTCCAAGCCCAACACAGGAAGCATCACAATAGACTGTATAAGGCCCTGAACCTGTGGGCAAAACCAACACCGGTGTCGTAGTCAGAGTTGTCTTGAGCTTCTGAAGGCTCGCCTCACACTCATCCGACCATTTGAACTAGGCACCCTTCTAGGTCAATCTGGATACCCTCTGCTGACACAACATGACCCAGGAATGCAACTGAACTCAACCAGAACTCAACTGACTATCCCTCAAAGTCTGAAGAACCACTATAAGATGCTGCTCGTGCTCCTCTCGGCTGCGGGAATATATCAAAATATCATCATGAAGACTATCACGAACGAATCCAAATAAGGCCTGAACACTCGGTTCATCAAGTCCATGAAAGCTGCTGGGGCATTTGTCAACCCGAATGACATAACCAAGAACTCATAATGCCCGTACCGAGTGCGAAAAGCTGTCTTAGGGACATCGGATGCCCTAATCCTCAACTGATGGTAGCCAGATCGCAAGTCAATCTTGGAAGATACCCTGGCACCCTGAAGCTGGTCGAACAAATCATCATTCCTTGGCAGTGGATACTTATTCTTGATCGTTATTGCCGGTAATCAATACACATTCTCATTGACCCATCCTTCTTCTTAACAAATAATACCGGCGCACCCCAGGGTGAGACACTGG